CAGGGGGGAAATGGGGCCACTTCTGGGGTGGGGGCCCTCAACTGGGGTCACTGCCCATCTCCAACCCCTCCCCCTGCCTGTCCTTCTGCAATGCCTCTCATTGGCACTCTCTGCCCAATCCCCAGGTGCTGCTCTATTCCATGCCCGCAGATGCCCACGGGCGCCACTGCACAGCCAGGCTGCCCAGATGCAGAAGGCCCGCTTCCCAATAGCCACAGAATTCGGGGGCCTATTTTTTTTTATGGGGTCACTGCCCATCTCCAACCCCTCCCCCTGCCTGTCCTTCTGCAATGCCTCTCATTGGCACTCTCTGCCCAATCCCCAGGTGCTGCTCTATTCCATGCCCGCAGATGCCCACGGGCGCCACTGCACAGCCAGGCTGCCCAGATGCAGAAGGCCCGCTTCCCAATAGCCACAGAATTCGGGGGCCTATTTTTTTTTATTTACCTGCATGAAAACTTTAAGCCGGTCCAAGGGGGCGGTTCCGGTTCTGGAGACGGCTCCTGCCATGGCGCCTGCCAGCAGCTGCTTCCACCACATCCCCGTCTTCTTCTCCTTCTCGGAGAATTCGTCAGGCACGGTAAGGCACTCCCCGATATCCAGGACCTGCCAGGGGAGATGGGGAGGGGGGTGAGTGGATCAGAACCAGGACCCCCAGGAATAGCCAGAGCCCTGGAAGGAAACCCCCTAAAGAACAGCACCACAAGGCTGCTATCAGCTGACCTCAAAGTGCTTTACCAAGGAGGTCAGTAACAGGACCCACCTACAGATGGGGAAACTGAGGCATGGAGGGTATGCCGAATGGCAGAGCCAGGAACAGAACCCAGGACTCCAGGTGGTAGGGTACAGTACAATTCGGCCTGTGGTGCCCGTGAGGGCGCTGCTGCCTGGTCCCCTGGCATGGCAGCTGGTGCTGGATGGATGGCATGGGAGAGCTTTCCCTCTACTGGGGAAGGGGCCAGAACCGCACATGGGCGCCAGAGAAGGGTGATGCTGTTTGGGCACAGCAGCCAGGGGCTGGGTTGGAGCTGGGAAGCCCCATGGCTTGTTCCCTGCCCCCCCAGAGCCAGCCAGTCCCCCTGACCCAGGGCTGGATCAGAACCAGGGCCCTCCGATGGGGAAAAGCCTCTTCTCCCTCCTGCCAACCCAACCCCATGCTACCGGGAGCCTGGGACTTGTTCATGATCCGGGTCAATTTACCTTGGCCGGTCACCACGTCTCACACCTCCAGGGAGCGAGCGAGCGGGGCTCCCCCGACAGGAGCCCACAAGGCCATGGGGCAGGTGGGGGGGGGGGGGCCCTGATAACAGGCCACCAGGTTTTCCAATAAAGGACTCCCAGAGCCCATCCCCACCTTGGCTCTCCCCAAGGACACTCACTCCCTTCCCCCAGCTCCGCTCCCCGTTGCAGCTGCCCCCAGACCGTTCATGAGCCGGGGAAGGGGGTCACCTGCAGCTGGGGGGAGCCAGGTGGCAGGAGAATCCCTGGCCCCAGGGCTGTGTTACAGGGGCCCCCGAATTAGCAATTCAGATTTTGGCGGGGGCCCAGGGGGAAGGTACCCCTCCCCAACACTACCACCAGTCACCTGTGCTATGGGGAAACTGAGGCACGGCGCCAGGCCGGGACTCGGCCGGCACAGCGCATGGAGACTATGACAGAGCTGGGGAGACCCCTGAGTTCTCCCCTCTCTCTGCTCTAATTCCCTCGTCCCCACGCCCTCCGGGGATAAAAACCGAGGAGTCCCGACTCCCAGCTCCCCTCCCCCGCTCCCGGCTCTAATCACTGGACTCATGGGGAACCCCGGCACTGCCACAAGCAGGGGTTTTAATAATCCCGGCTGGCTAGAAGTGGGGCACGGACAGACAGAGAAAGACGCCCCTGGGGATGAATAACCCCACATCCTACCCGTTGGGGATCCCCCAGGACAGATCCCAAGCCCCCGAGGTGTCTCTGTTCAGCCTCCCACAGCTGGGCCAGCGCCTGGACTCTGGGGAGCCCACCGAGAGCGGCCCGGCGGAGCACGGCGGGGCACGCACCAGCCGGGCGCCCTGCGGCGGGGGAGGGCTCCTCCATGGCCGGGTGGCGAGTGGGAGAAGGTGAGAGAGGGTGGGAAGGGCTGGGCAGGCAATAAAGCCTCCTAGAAATCCTGCTAATGAGATTAGAGGGCTTGTGGTGGAGGAGGGTCTTGGGCAGAGCCGCTCTGTCCTCTAGCTCATCCGGCCGTTGAAGGGAGGGGAAACTGAGGCACGGGGGAAGGGGAACAGACATCGGTGCCTCATGGCACCCTTGGAAAGGGTTCAGAAAAGGGCAACTAAAATGATGAGGGGTTTGGAACAGGTCCCATATGAGGAGAGGTTAAAGCGACTGGGACTTTTCAGCTTAGAGAAGAGGAGACTGAGGGGGGATATGAGAGAGGTCTATAAAATCATGAGTGGTGTGGAGAGGGCGGATCAAGAAAAGTTATTTATTAGTTCCCTAAATAGAAGAACTAGAGGACACCAAATGAAATGAATGGGGAGCAGGTTGAAAACTAATAAAAGAAAGTTCTTCTTCACACAGCGTGTAGTCAACCTGTGGAACTCCTTGCCAGAGGAGGCTGTGAAGGCTAGGACTATAATAGAGTTTAAAGAGAAGCTGGATAATTTCATGGAGGTTAGGCCCATAAAAGGCTATTAGCCAGGGGATAAAATGGTGTCCTTGGCCTCTGTTTGTCAGAGGCTGGAGAGAGATGGCAGGAGACAAATCGCTTGATCATTGTCTTCGGTCCACCCCCTCTGGGGCACCTGGTGCTGGCCTCTGTCGGCAGACAGGCTACTGGGCTAGATGGACCTTTGGGCTGACCCAGTACAGCCGTTCTTATGTTCTCATGGTAGCACTCAGAGGGTGCCCTGCCTCCCTGTGGCCCCCCCAAAATGTTAATTGCTAAATGGGGTGCCCCCACATGTTCCCTCTCTGCCCCTCTGAGTGGCAACCCCTCCCCCTTTGGCCCCAGATGCCCCTAATGTTTAATTTGGAAACTCACTCTCCTCATATATAATTTGGTCTTCTATGGTTGTTGCCTTCTCTAATTCCCCATCTATCATTATCATGTGGTCACCCCTTCCACAGGTTCTTTGAGAGGATCCCCCCCGCCGCTCTAACCACTAGTCTCCACTCCTCTCCTGAAGCTGGGGATAGAACCCAGGAGGCCGGAGGCCCAGCTGCGCTGGTCTGACCCGCCCCCTATCAATCACGTTTAAATATAAACAGTAAATCTCAGCCGGTGCGGGTCACTGGTGAGATTAGCCCAGCAGGGAAACAGCCCTCGCCGGGCTGGCCCCCTCCCAGCTGCCCCGGGTGCCTGCTGAGAAGGGGGTTAGGGAGGGGCAAAGGGAGGGGGTAGGCCATGGCTCCCTGGGGAAAGGGGGGCAGGGCGCTGCACAGT